CCCCATTTCCTGTTTCTAAATTTTCTATAGTAATCTTGAGATATTCTTATCAGAATGAACTTGCAAGACTTGGGAGGGAAAAGCCAACATTCTTACAGGCACAAGTTTTATCTTAAGTCTACATCTGATATTTATAAAATAGAGGCCCACTCTCTACAAAATGAGGGGGTGACTTTTTTCTCCCATAAAATGGTAGTACTTTTCGGGGTACTATATAATCCTTACCCTTACCCAAAGGTAAGAAATGCAGACATTTATCTGGGAAGCAAATTGCTCAGAAACAGTAACTGATAACAGACTGATCTTTTATGGCTTTCAGGACTTCCGCAGCTATGAGCGTGTAAGCATATTTTTGTAAACAGGGTTGAAAAGAAATATAAAAATATTTGGTATAGCCTATTTGATCAGTCTTAGGTGTCTTTCCATAACATTATAGATAATTCTTGCTTTAACCATTTTAAAAGCCATGTAGTATCTCCTGTGTATATACCATAATTACTCAACCAATGCCCTGCTGATGGGCCTACAGGTTGCTACCAGTGCAGTATGAAATAGAGATGAGTATTTTCTATTTCTGCATTTCTGTGCAAACTTACACTAAAAATCACATTAGGCAATAATTTAACGTTTTTTGTTTGTGTGCATGTGACGGTATTACAGATGACCTTGGGTCTTAAATAATTAAAGTGAACATATGCCTTTTCTATTTACCTAAGAAAATAAAAATTAGCAACAAGCAGAGCTCATGTGAGAACATAGATGATCGGGACTGAAAAATTAAGTTGGAGTTTTTGCATCTGGCTTCTTCAAGAACTATTATCTGTAGGGGGTGGGGCAGTGAGGAAGGGGAAAAACTATCCTTGGCATTTCAGGGACAGTTTTATCTATTACTTCCTGAATCTTCTAAAGGCTACGGGAAGATGATACTGCACTATCACCTCTCTTTCCCCAACCAAATGTCTGTATCAAGAAGTCGTTCCAAACCAAACTCCCTGCCGTCAAGCCCAATCTAATTCCTAAAGACCATTAAGGACACACAGAACTTGCCCCAGTGGGTTTCCCAGATTGTAAACTTTGATGGGAGAAGAGAGCCTCATCTTTCTCCCGAGAAGAGCTGATGATTTCAAATTGCCAACCTGCACTTAACAGCCCAACACACAGTATAACCTATGACATTAACAGGGCTCCCAAGAACCAGTTAGAAGCCAGAAAAATAAAGGGAAGGGGCACACTGTATATATAGTTTTAAAA